ATGAATGACTGGAGTAATTTTGTATGTAGAAATTAAATATCGCTTTGCTGTCAAGTGGCTCGTTGGTCTAGTGGTATGATTCTCGCTTCGGGTGCGAGAGGTCCCGGGTTCAATTCCCGGACGAGCCCATGCATATTTTATTATAATAGTTGTGGCTTACTCCAACCTGACAAACTTTCTTTCTCCATTTACTATAGTTTGTCTGACTGAAATCTTTTTCGGTTCCATGCTTTCTAACTTTCATCTTCAAATATTTAAATGCCATATGAGTCATTAACTTTTGTATTCTTAATTTCTGCTCTTTTTATTGTTCTCTGTCTTTAATATTTTTTTTCTCATATTCTCTAACATTATTGCGTCTGGGTGGCTTTATTGCCTTGTTTGATGTGTAATGATTAAAAAAGAAAAAAGTGATTTAAGTTACCAGAGGTCAAAAACGAAGAAAGAAAATCTCAACTTCTAAACACTAAACAAATAATACTTCCATGAGAAAATTCTCAAATGATTTCTTTTACTGGTGAGTCAATGATATTTTACAATAAAATTAAGAAAGAAGCAATAAAGGACTGGATTCAGATAAAATTAAAAAAAGAACCTGCCATATTATTGGTCATGATCTGACATCTCGGCTTCAGTCACTTTTACAACGCCGTAACGTAGCTTCTCTGTGCCTTTTCTGTAACCATTTTCATGGTAGCTGTTCGGATGAACTCTTCGCCATGGCACATAGACTTTATGAATTTAAGCGCACTGCTAGATTGGCAGCTAGGTCTCATCATTTTACAGTTGAAATCGCTAGATGTAACCTCAAGTTCTATTCTAGCAATTTCTTCTATCGTACTTCTCACTTGTGGAACACACTTCCAGCTTCTTACTTCCCAGTCAACTTTGATCTTCAAAAATTTAAATGCAATATCAATCGTTATCTTCTGTTTTCTTAATACCTTTTCTTTTATTGTTCTCTAGCCTTCATACTGTGTTTTTTTCTTCTCATATTGTCTACCTCTTGCATCTTAGTGGAATTATTGCTTTGCTTGGGGTGAAATGATTTTTAAAGAAAAAAGTCACTTTAGGTCACCTGAGATCAAAAACGAAAAAGATCTCAACTTCTAAACATTGGAAACAAATGATTCTTCTATAAGAAAATTCTCAAGTCATTCCTTTTACTAGTGACTCAATCATATTTTACCATAAAATTAATTTAGTACGAAAGTAAACGCTGTACAATTACCATGAATGTATTTATGGAAAAGACACAGTGAAGCTACATTACGACGGGTGGGGAGCGACTGTAGCTGAGATGCCAGGTTAGGACCCACAACATTGTAGATTCTTCTTTGGATATTATCAATAATCTCTAATATATAGCAGAAACACCAGACCAGAAGATAGAAAACTAACCTGTTATACATTCATCTGTTTATTCGATATACACTTCAAGTATTGGGCTGTTTTCCCTTTTTTACCTTAAGAGCCATCTTAGTTCTTCTTGACATGTATTCAACAATGTTCTGGAAGCAGTGGAAAGTTTTGGAAATTTCTGTTCATGCACTTACTATAGCAGGGTCCAATTTCTCGAGATTGCTTGTCCTCTAATTCAGAATTTGAATTTCCCTTTCCACCACATCTCAAATGTGCTCTCCGGGCTTTTGATATCCGATGACTGCGGAGGTCACCTTAACGCAGATAATTCATTGCTACGTCGCATGAATCAATCTGTCACTAATCTATAGTAATAAGAAAAAAAAAAGAGGAGGCTTACTTTTAGTCGCAGTGCCTATTGTACAATTCGACCTGTTTTTTTAATAAGTTTCGTCGGGACGTTAGCGATTATGGCTCCCCACCGATTCGTTTTCTTTATTAGATATTGAATTGCCAAGATTTGTGAGTGAAGTTGCGTACAGGAAATTGTTCGCAAGCCGTCGATAGTTGTGCTAGCACGAATTCTCAAGCTATACACGTGTCAGGTTTTCAGTTTGGGGGAAATAAATTATATTTTTTGTATCGAACATTTTACTAACCATTACCTCATATCGAAACACTATATTAAATCCGCAGTGAGCCATTAGAAACTTTCATTCATTTACATTCGCATCAGACATTATTGCAATATTGTCGATGTTACTGACCTGTGCGTCGCACAACTTCAAATTTGTGTTGAGGCATTTCATGCCCTAGTGATGTGCAAATTGGCTAATACAGATAGCTTACCATTATCTTTTAATGGATCATCAAATACCTGGTCTTGTCTGTACTTTTTTTTAATCAATTCACCCCAAGCAAGGGGATAATGCCACTAAGACGCAAGGGGATACTGGAAGTGAAAGTGCACGAGAAGAAAGAACCGGAAACCCAGTCTTAGACGAAAAAAGGGATAAACCTCTATTCATGTTCAGAAGTCCGGGAGGGGTGTGAACCTGGTGATAGGCGAACCTATCTTTTGTGTTTGTGTATTTATTGTCGTTTTTCAGCACAATATGGGTTGTTCAAGCTTGCTTTTAAATTGAAAGATAATCTCGTCGGCTAAAAAAGAAAATAATTACGACATTGCTTTCAAAATGCCAACTACAAATTGGATCTTCCAAAAACTAAGCAAAGTATTAAGAAACAGGAAAATTTCGTTAGAAACAAAGAAATGAATGCTGATCTGCTGTGTTATATCGTTTCTTGTATATAACGGTGAGTGCTGGACAATCTTCTCGCAGATAAAAAAGACACGTTAGGCAACAGAAATAGGGTTCTACAGAAGGATGCTGAGAATATCATTGACTGAAACGACAAAGATTTTAGGAAAATGGAAGGAAAAAAACAACAACTTATTCTTAGAATCCGAAATAGTTAAAATTTCTATGGCTTATAACGAGGAAAGAGGGATAGGAGAATTTGATACTTACATGGACATATTGAAGGCAAGAGGAGCAGAGAGAAACAGCAAGTCATCTATCTAAAGTGCTTGTGTAAACGGATGGCGGAACTGGGAACTGGCAGAGACAACAAAATGATATACCTCACTAAGAGCTCTAAAGGATAGGGAGTTGTGAAGAGCCATGGTCATCCACATCCTAAATGAGAGACAGAACATTTTCAATATTTTCCAATAAACGACAATGTCTTTTATCACAATTATACTCGTAGTACCGGAAGTAATCTTACAAAAATAAAATCTCCTTTTATTAAAACTGAAAATGAATTCAGAATGCGAATATAAGCATAAGGTGGGATCTCAATATTTCGTAAATGCCTATATATATATATATATATATATATATATATATATATATATATATATATACAGAGTGAGAGAGAGAGAGAGAGAGAAAAAGAGATAATGGGAGAGTGATATATATATATATAGAGAGAGAGAGGGGGGGAGATCTTTCTTGCTATCTATTTTCTTTATATAGATAGATATATAGATAAGTTTCTTACTATGTCTCTCTCTCTCTCTCTCTATATATATATATATATATATATAGAGAGAGAGAGAGAGAGAGAGATAGTGAGAGATATAGGGAGAGATAGGAAGAAACTGATCTATATATCTATCTATATAGAGAGAGATGGATAGATTGCAAGAAAGATCTCTCTCCTCTCTCTCTCTATATATATAGAGAGAGAGAGAAAGAGAGACATAGGAAGAAACTTATCTATCTATCCCTCTCTCTCTCTCTCTTATATATATATATATATATATATATATATATATATATATATATATATCCCGATAGATAGATAGATAGATAGGACGAAACTGGTCTATCAGCTGACTAATTTTATTTGTATTACTCAAATATGGATAAATAGATAGATTGATAGATAAATAAAATTGAGACTCATGGGATTTAGCCTTGCCCTTGTAAGAGAACTCATAGTAAAATAGAAAATATATTTGTCATTGGAGGTTATTGATCATATAACGGAATGTGGATTTCAAGACAAGATGGATGTCTGGATTGTTCTAGAGACTGGAAGGTAAAATGGTGGGGAGGTTTGATGCGTATCGGGTGGAAGAGGTCCGATCTCCTTACTGCATCATTTCTTTTAATCAAAGAGTTTGAAGCATCGACAAAACAGCATGCAGGAATTTCTTGCTAGAATATTCATGTGAATCAGCTTTGATGTTATCACGTCTCCTTCTGTCCTCGAAGAAATATGGGGACCATCAGAGATGTCTTCCTTCTCCTATTTCTCGTCATTATTCTTTCATTGCCTCTTCCATTGATGCCACTTCTGTTCTGTCGCGCTTGCTTCGCCGCCACCTTTTTTTTTCTTCGTTTTCACGTTTTTCATCAGGACCCCCTCCCCCTTTTCTTTTTGCTTCACTTTCTCCACGCAGGTATATATTGATAGGTTCGAAACCTAATGAGGAAATAAGCATGTACAATAAATATTTACTTTTTAAAATAACCCTTGTCAATGCACTTAACCCAACGTTACACCATCAATTACAGAGATCGAACATTGTGTATTGAAAATTTCAAATCAAAATTTAGCTCATATATATATATATATATATATATATATATATATATATATGTATATATATATATATATATATGATAGTCCGCCCTTGCTGCATGAATTTTTTTTTCATGCAGCAAGGGCATGGACTATCATTGTTGTTTCGTGTGTTGTTTGATTTATTGAAATTGTCATCTTTGATAATGGCTTATGTATGCCGAAAGTTTAGATTGGATTTAAACATGTATCAATATGGTGTTTTCCTTTCGTCTTTCAACGATAATGTGATTAAGCTTATCAGACAATATGAAAGGAACTTACTTAAAATAAATAGACAAAACTTTTCTATATTATTTAATGAAACATGCATTAATGAAAAATTGATGCCTAAATATACATATATATATATATATATATATATATATATATATATATATATATATATATATGAGAAAAGTAAATTACCAAACGGGTAAAAAATAATAATGTCGCAATGTGGAAATAGTAGAAAATACTAAAACTATTTACACACACACATACACATAAATTCACATAAATTTTAATTTTTTACAATGAACTTTTTCGAATTGCTACTAAGGTTCAAGAAAATAGAAATCCTGACACATGAACTACTTAACATTTTTGTAGTCATTAACCACGCTCACTGATTGGCGGGACTCTCAGATTTTGACTACAACATTTTATGATCATCAATTTTGGGCGCAAAAATTATTATGTCTGATCACGTGATCATAATCAGCCAACGAGAATGCATTTTAAACAAATAACAATCATAAAGCAAAAAGTTTTCTCCAACTCCAATTAGATGCAAGACATGTATGGAATATCTACACGTATCTACATCGCAATTTAACTTTTTAAAATAACAGAACTGTGAAACTGATAAAGTTACTCTAAATAAATATTATTAAACATCTCAGTTACATTTCAAATTCTTTTTCCAATATCAAAAACAGGGGAAAATTATATGACAAAGTGAAACAAGTTTACTGTTAACGCGTTTCGTCATTCAGAACTTCACGAAGGACGAAACGCGTCAAAAGTAAACTTTTTCTACTTAGTCATACAATTTCTCCAATATATATATATATATATATATATATATATATATATATATATATATATATATATATAATACTAATATAACGTATGCGCATTGTATCATATGCACTCCAAGGTATTTACATTATATTAGTATATATTATATACATATATACAAGATACATATATTAGTATTAGAAATAAAATAAATAAATGGCATATATATATGGATATACATATATGTGTGTGTATGTAAAATTTCAGGTATAACTAAAAATACATGTAAAAATAAATGTAAAAGAACAATATGAATAAAGATAAAAGGAAAACTTAACATGGCGGACGCGTATCGTACTTTGTTGGACTTTGCTCTGATAAATGAATAAGATCACGCGGAGCAATATGAAACATAATATATTAATCTAACGAAGTTTTGCACTTCTTTGATGGAACAGGTAAATTAATATTGTTAAAATTATTATTTCTTTATCAGTATTAACCGTGATAATGTAACTCAGTATCATCATTTTGATTACTACTACTGCTACAAGTCCTACTTCTTCTTCTTCTACTACTACTACTACTATTATTATTACTGCTGCTGCTGCTGTGGTGATTTGTTTGGCGATCCTCTCGTGAGAGTGAGGAACGGAATTTTAGTACCCTCTGAGGATCAATGCTGTTGGCACCATCGGAGGATCGATAGTGTTAGGCACCATCTGAAGATCGATAGTGAAGGACAACCTATGAGGTTCGATAGTTTTGATTACCGTCTGAGGATCGACAGTGTTTGGCATAGTCTGAAGATCGATAGTGTTGGGTAGACGATGAGGATCGATAGTGCTGGTCACTCTATGAAGATCGATATTGTTTTTTTATTTTTTTTTTTACACTCTGTGGATCGAACTTACTGCTGTGGTAGCAGAATGAATTTGTTAATCGTTATTCAACATCACTTTCATTATTCTCTCTTTTTATATTTGCCGTGATGGGATTATTAATGAATATAACAAATTCCCCTGGAAATTTCCCCGAGTGTCCAAATAGCAAATTATTTTTTAATCAAACAGGGAAAAACGATCCGTGCTGATATTGCTCATTTGTTGCTTAGGCGATGAGCGGTGAGTAGGAATGGCGGTGGACAGTTCTGACAGGACATTATCTAAATGAAAACCTGATAATGACTTCCAGCAACAAGATTCGATAACGATAGACATTAGCGGCAATGATGATGACAATGTTCTAATGAAAATTATGATGGCGATTATTGGGGTAGAAAAGCGAATAAAATAGAGAGAGAGAGAGAGAGAGAGTGGGGGAAGGAGAAAGAATGAAAGAGAGCGAGTGAAAGAAAGAGAGAGTTAAAAAGAGAGAGAGAAAGAAATTGAGAGTGAGAGTGAAATGAAGGTGAGAAAACGGAAAACAAAGATAGCAGGATAACGAGAAAGAATCAGAAAAAAGCAAGAATATACAAAATGGAAGATTGATTGCTTTCTTTTTTTACGGTTTATCAACCCTCCTTGGGTTATTTAAAGCCGAAATATATTTCGGAGGCTGCTTACAGTGCCCGATGTTTCCAGGAAGTCTCTCATCTAAATACTGGCAGGACTCAGCACAGCTTAACTTCGGTCATCGACCGAAAACCTGTTTTCAGTGTGATTTGACCGTCAACCTTATAAGGGGAGAAAATGATTACATATATATATATATATATATATATATATATATATATATATATGTGTGTGTGTGTGTGTGTGTGTGTGTGTGTGTGTGTGTGTGTGTTTATTTGAGTGTGTAAAATTTATATTAGTGAGTCATAGTGTCACAATAGTCCACTAGTGAGGATTAATGTCAAGTGCTCTCAGTTATCGTGTTCATGCGTACATATATATATATATATATATATATATATATATATGTTATATTATATGTTATATATATATATATATATATATATATATATATATATGCAGCATA